AAATGTGTCATGGACTTGAGAAATGAAGGGTTGGACGTGGAGACTACTAGGCCTAGTGAAAGAATTAATGGCATTTAGAATTCATTGTTCAATGGAGTTAAGGATATCCTGTTGAGACAAGTGAATGAGAGACTTTGTGCACTTAAAGTGGCTTCGGATGAGTTTAGGATATATTTTGTGCTATTTCTTATTGGACATCTTCTATACCCAACCATGCGTACTTCAATCAGCAGCGGGTATCTTCACACTGCGTAGATGTTCCTTGTATAGGGAAGAGAAATTGGGCAAAGTTTGTATTTAATGGTATGGTTTAAGGGGTACGAAAATATCAAACACATGATCAGAAAAATGTTAGTGGATGTTTACTTGTTCTTATGGTAAGGCATGAATTTATTTTTTTAGTGTTTTTATGTTGTGCTTTTTTCACAACACTTTTACTGAATTACCTATTTTAATTATTTAATGTAGATAGTATATCTAGAGTGGGTCACACCCAAAGGGGTGTTTGTTAAACAACCGCCTTGTAGGAGCAACCCTCGAATTGTTGCGTGGGGGGATGAGGAAATTAAAAAACATGTAAGCATGTTGAATAAGTCCAAACGACTAGGGCGTCAAGAAGTTACTTGCAAATTGTTTGACAACACCATAAATAGACCCCCACCAGTTGATACAGTACACAATAGTAAACGATCCACCAATGAAGTGAAGTAAACTAGTTTGACATCTAATGAAAAACCACCGGTACGTATATACCATGATACTAATATCACATTGATGTATAATTGTTTTTGCCACGTTATCAATTGTCTAAATGTGCAAGAATGGGAGGCCAGAATGTGTAGGATGGAGAATGCGATTGTTAATATAATTGGCATGGTGGGCTCAATGGTTAGCATGATGCAAATGTTTATGGGTGGATCATTTCCTAAAACATCAAATTACCAAGAGATGGACAATGATGCTGCTGTTGGAGTAGTTGTTGAGGAAAAAAATAAAATTGACTTGAATGAAAATATAAATGCCAACTCCTGTGATGAAGTGGATGTGGACTACTGGATTTGGACACCCATTGCCGCTGTCCGCACCCCACCACCAAAACCATTCCATGAGGCATGGCGACGTCCATTGAATACTAGTAATGACGAATACAAACATAATAACGTTGGTGACGTGCAAGAGGCTTCTTACTCATGCACTCAAACGCCATTCCCACCAATGCAGTTAAGAAGAGATTCTAAAAGGAGGCCAAGCAAATATGTGATTTTACCATATGAACAACCAAAGGTATAACATACATCATACTTAATGTATTAATTACATTATACATTATCGTCACTTATACTTTGCTCCCTTCAACTACAACATCGTTGGGTGAAGAAGGATGATAAGAAAGAGGGCAAGGGGGAGGCGAATAATCCCCCGGATTANGGGTGAAGAAGGATGATAAGAAAGAGGGCAAGGGGGAGGTGAATAATCCCCCGGATTACATTCAACCAAGCTTGGACAACTCCATGCATATAGTGGTAATGCATAAGGTTATGACACCGTTTATTATTATCCAATTTTTTTATAGTCATATATTCAATTTCTTTGTGCACAGGGCGGTTATGACATGAATTATTATGACAACATGACACCGATCGATGTGTACAAGACTCCGCCTAATCCTGGTAACAAACTGAAATTGTCTTGTAATAGTGCATCAGTTGCTGAAATTCTTAAGGTTTGATTTTTTCCATTGTTGATTATGTGACAAACTTGAATGGTAGTTTAATGTCACACATTTCGTACACAGATTTCAGATTCTACTTTGGGTATTCCAGAGCACGTTGAGGAATATGAAAATGTAGACATACTTTATCCTGAAGATAAGCAATTGATTTTGAATTACATATTTGACAAGAATCTTGACAAGAGGTATATTTATGTTAAATGTAAACATTGAAACATTTTAAAATATGTATTAATATGTGATCGAAAATAGTTGTATGATGGAATTTTTTTTTTAATACTTTTTAATTTTTTTTTTACAACAGAGAGGTTTTAATTAGGTTTGAAGATGACCATACTGGACGTCATTCCCTCATGACATTATTAACAAAGCAGTGGTTACTTGATTCGTTTAGTAAATTTGGTGTTTTTCAACCAATATATTTTTCTTTTTTTAATTACAATAACGTAAACCATTTGAATTTTACTTTGGTATTTTCCTATGACCGTAATAGGTTGTGGACTTGACCCATAATTTGTTAGCTAAGGAAGATAAGGTCAATCCAAAAACCGGATTAGAGAGGTGGTACCTACCCACGTGGTTCTCGGTAATAAAAATATGTTTATTTGTAGAACTTTATTTTAATTTTAAAAAAAATTACATACAATTTGTTGATTATAATTTTGTTTGTTGTATTCAGCAACAGGCACTATGTCGGGCTGTGGGTAACAGTGAAATGAAAAAAACATTGTTGCATTCTATATGTGCTGTGAGTGGGAAGTACATAAAAGATTTCTTTGCCGGCATCAAAAGCACACAACGCTCAGAAAGCTTGAATAGTTACTTGAATCGTTTCCTGAAAACAAGGCTTCGTTTGTATGAATTTGTTAGACAGTATGGTAGGGGTGTATCAAGAATCTGAGAAACCGAAGCCTATGACAATCATTATTCTGAAAATAGTACCCCAGTGTTGACCACTACACTACGCTGCTTAGAGCAGCACACTGCCTCACTGTATACCAGGTCAATTTTTTTTAAAGTGCGGGATCATATAAAGGCCGAAGGACTCTTCTTCGTGATCCAAAAAATTGAGCACAATACTCATTCGAGTTATTATCTGTTGAAATACACAAAACCAACATCTAGTTGGAATGTGATATATGAATATCAGACTCACACCATCAAATGCAATTGCCTAAAATTACAATATGTTGGACTTCCTTGCTCACACATCATAACAGTTTTGAAAACTGAACACATAACAGAGTTCCCTCCTTGTACTATTCTAAAACGATGGACAATTACTGCAAAATCTGCTAGCCCACCGAGCTTTGTGCCTGAAACGTCAACAACCATATCAATTTCTTGTCGCTATGCTGGATTAATGTCAATGTGTAGCCGGATGTGTTACTACGGTACACAATTGCCTGAGGACGCACATGAGCTTCGAACAACAATAACTGCAATAACCAACCGCATGAAATAACTTCATGATACACTCGAAGCAAGACAGGTGTCAGCATCACATGACACACATAATAACATTGTGTCGAACAGAAAATATGGTGTCGTCGATCCCAAGACAGTGACAACCAAAGGCAATCCGGGCCTTATACGGAAGAACCTACCAATAGCTCCACGACGATGTAGTAAATGTCGTGGCACTGGACATACTATTCGTAGGTGTCCGCAGCTTACATGCCTTGCGGACGACCCCCATGATGGCATGCCCTTCTCACAACCTGGTAGCTCCCAACATCCCATGCCATCAACTCAAGAACCCGACCAATGGAATCCAACTTACAATTGCAATGTCCTTTGATATCAGGTTTCATACATTATAACATTTTAATTACTTTGGGAAATTCATCAAATTACCAACACGATTTTCATTTTCGTTTTTAATTTTTTTTAACAGCAGGTGAGGGAGACACAAAGGCTGTTGAGGGGCACTGAATGATGAGAATGAAAAAAATTTATNTTTTTTTTAACAGCAGGTGAGGGAGACACAAAGGCTGTTGAGGGGCACTGAATGATGAGAATGGAAAAGAATTATTGAGTGCTTTGCAGATTGACCTTTCTCGTAAGCTGAAAGTTAAATGTAGATTGGTACAGTGGAGGAGCGAAGGTGTTGGATCATTGAAGCTTAATACAGACAGGGCTTCCAAGAAAAACCCAGGGATTGCAGGGAGAGGAGCTGTGGTGCATAATGAATGGGGTGGCATTGTTGTGGCTACCTCATTCTTTATATGGGCAGTGCTCTAACACCATTGAANAAACCCAGGGATTGCAGGGAGAGGAGCTGTGGTGCATAATGAATGGGGTGGCATTGTTATGGCTGCCTCATTTTTTGTATGGGCAGTGCTCTAACATCATTGCAGAATTTAGAGCATTGTCCAATGGATTGAAGCTTGTTTTGGCATATGGTTTGACTTGTTGCAGGTTTGAAATTGAATGTCAATAATCAGAATTTTGGTGAATGATGTTCTGGGTATTACTGACTATCTGTGCACATGTTTGAGCTATTTGACACATATTAGTGGCTTCTTGAGGGGTCTGCATTATAGCTTGGTGCATATTTTTCGGGAGGTGAATGCGAGTGATGCTGATACTCTTGCTGGGCAGGCGGCAAAGAGTAGAAATTCAGTTGATTTTTCGATGGGTTTGAGATTGCCTTGTGATGTTACCTTCGTTCTGTTATCTGATCAACAAAGTCTCCCTGTTTTGCAAAAAAGAAAGAGGGTGGTCTTCGACGATAAGGTGTAATAGGAGCTGCTGCTGCAGCCTTTGTCTTGGATTATTAAGTGTTGATTTGTTTGAAACAATGGGAAAAGATAAAAAGCTCTTTATTGTTGATACGTGCTTATGGATTTGGACTGTGATGGGGATTTTTGCTGAAACTTTGGAGTTTGATGTTGTGTAGTTTATGCTTTGCATTGTTAGTTTTGCCTTTTACTGGGTATGAATGGGCGTCTGTGCCTTTTCCTTTGTTTCTTGTCAATATTTTGCATTATGAATAAATAAAATTCCCTTTTGATTAAAAAAAGTAATAATAATAAGATCCCTGCTTTTGATTCAATTGTGCACGACCAATAGATTAATACTTCTTTTAACATTTTTTAGGTGAGTATGACTACATGTGCTTTGTACTGCTTTTCTTGACAATATATTGATCAAAGAAGTAATTACAAGAAGCAAAGAACAAACAGTTCTACAAATTTCAAAAATAGTTGTAATCCTTCAAGATGATTAAAACCATATTAAGCTACAAAATTGTGTCTGCTAATCTTCAGTCCAACTCTTGAACTCCCAGACAGCTCCTGATGCAGAATCCCCAAATCAGAAATAAACCAGTACAACACCCATTCAGTCCCAGCTGGTTTGCTATGTACCCAAACTCAGCTCCTGCACCTTTGGTAACAGCCCAGCTCACAGCAATAGTCTGCTAGAATAGCAGACAACTATTGAAACAAAGCAAAACAACAAACCAGTCCAGCAGCCAAGCATTAAGACCAGGACTAACCCTCCACATTAGCATCCCAGCAGCTATCTTCAAAGTCAATCCACCAGAAAATACAAAATCCATCATAAATAGACCAATGCAATCCAGTTCAAATAAAAAACCAAGACTCAGCTCTATACACCAACTGCCCAGACACAAAACTTGCCCACACAGTCTGGCAGAATATAAATCATCACAAAAATTGGCTTTAATCCTTCAAAAGGCTCAAAGCAACTTATCCTCCAACTACAAACAAGACCTCATGCTCAGCACACTATCACCCCAGACACATACTAGACCAATCAGATCAACTGCCCAGTCTTCCATCAACCGTTCTAACCTCTCCTCCATCATCCAAATCCTTGCCTTTGGTCACAAACCACAAGTCTCCTTTTCCTTGTAGTACTCAGTCCAAAATGATCCTGATGAAGAATTAATCTGCCAGACTTAACAGCCAGACTGGTATGAGAAGATAACTCAGTAGATGCTCCCATCTGAACATCAATAGAGGCCAAAAAATCAGCTAAAACATGTCAACGTTTCTAACTACTAGCCAATATATTTAACAACCATCTACCCAACATCTACAACACCCTTGCCAAAATGCCAAATATTACTATAAAACAAAAGATTCACAAAAACAAAATACACAAAACCAATGTGTCATTTGTTGATGTACTCTTTAAAGTCCTTATAAAAACAATCTAATTTTGACTCCAGACACTGCAATGACCCTTTCGTTTCATCCTCAAACTTTTCAAATCAGGCCTCCAACTTTTCAACCATTTGTTGAAGTGGTTGTCGACCCTCACTAGTGCCAGCATCAGAACCAACTTGACTAGTCCCAGCTTGACTACCCATAACCTAAGGCACCGCTGCTGCCTGCTTCACACACTTGCCCTGTTTCACACCCAGAATAGCTTCCACACTTTTATTAAGTGTACCCATACCCATTGAATTCATGGGATAAATAAAACTGTCATTCTGCTGAAATTCAACCACATTATGCTTCAAAATCTTGGAAACTAATATTGGAAATGGAAGACATGGCCTGTCATCCTCAACAGCAGATGCTTCACGAACATGGTTGAATATGTAAAGGGATAGATCAATAATAACCTCATGTTCCGCAATAGCATATAATAGTTGGGTCNACGTTTCTAACTACTAGTCAATATATTTAACAACCATCCACCCAACATCTACAGCACCCTTGCCAAAATGCCAAATATTACTATAAAACAAAAGATTCACAAAAACAAAATACACAAAACCAATGTGTCATTTGTTGATGTACTCTTTAAAGTCCTTATAAAAACAATCTAATTTTGACTCCAGACACTGCAATGACCCTTTCGTTTCATCCTCAAACTTTTCAAATCAGGCCTCCAACTTTTCAACCATTTGTTGAAGTGGTTGTCGACCCTTACTAGTGCCAGCATCAGAACCAACTTGACTAGTCCCAGCTTGACTACCCATAACCTAAGGCACCGCTGCTGCCTTCTTCACACACTTGCCCTGTTTCACACCCAGAATAGCTTCCACACTTTTATTAAGTGTACCCATACCCATTGAATTCATGGGATAAATAAAACTGTCATTCTGCTGAAATTCAACCACATTATGCTTCAAAATCTTGGAAACTAATATTGGAAATGGAAGACATGGCCTGTCATCCTCAACAGCAGATGCTTCACGAACATGGTTGAATATGTAAAGGGGTAGATCAATAATAACCTCATGTTCCTCAATAGCATATAATAGTTGGGCCGTATCGTATGCAATCTCAACAGTATGCCCCCTCGGATGTATATTACAGGCAACAATTCGGTTTATCATCCTATACGTTGGAGTAAGGTCAGTGTGAGCAATTTTACTTTTCTCATTCTCCCAAGGGACACTCCCAATACAAATACGTTGAATAACCGTCGCCATTTCAGGAGCCTACTCCTTACTTGAATATGGAAAGACAATGGAATTCTCAGGAATGTCTGGTCTATCAATTTTTAATATATTTGAAATAAGATCAGGCGAAACAGTGATGGATTTCTTCCTAACCAGTGTCTTAAATGTCAGCTCATTCTCATTTTACTCATGAACATTTGCATAAAAAAACTTAACCAGTTCAACATATGTTTTATCATCCACATTCACATCACACAAAGGTTCCCATTTCCGAGCCCGAAGTATTTTAAGGGAATCCACCCTCCCTACTAGCTCATCAAGGTAAACACCACGCTTAATTAACAGAGGACGTTTAACAATGAATGAATCATACCTCTTCTTAGCATCTTTATCCACAAAGAGTTTGGCATTCCCAGAACTCTCCCTGCTAACCTCCTTCTTCCGTTTCTTCGCTTCTCCGCTTCTCCGCTCGACATCACCACAGCTCCAAATGTGATTCTTTCACTCTTCTTCAACAAAGATTCACAACGAACATTCACAATGCAAATTTTCACTCTTCTCCGAATGAAGATTGAGGTTTATGGAATTGGGAGATTTTGAATGGGTTTTGTAGGATTTTCAATGGATTTTGTAGGATTTTTAATGGGTTTGAAATGGGTATTGTCGGATTTGAAAGGGATTTTGAATGAGAATGGAAGGCGCAAGCAATTTAGGGGTAATTTTGTGGGATTTGGGGATTTATTTGGGTAAGCCAATGTTTGTTTACTACAAAGCCCCCCTTACAACACTTAAATTTATTACTCTTTGTGGGCATTTAAGTAAATACATCAACTTTTGATCTATCCTATTTATTTTTGATCGATCGCAATCTCACTTGCTCCTTAAACTTCTCCAGCAGTAACTCCTTGATCGATCATTATACATAATTGATCGATCGCCATCCCACTGGCACCATAACCTTCTTCATCACTAACGCCATGATCGATCAATATACATAATTAATCGATCGCAATCCCACTGGCACCATAACCTTCTTCATCAGTAACTCAATGATCGATCAATTATGTATAATTGATCGATCGCAATCTCACTGCCACCATAACCTTCTCCATCACTAACGGCATGATTGATCATCATACATAATTGATCGATCGCAATCCCACTGGCACCATAAGGTTCTCCATCAGTAACTCCATGATGGATCATTATACATACTTGATCGATCACAATCCCACTTCCCCTTCAACTTCTTCATCAGTAACTCCATGATCGATCAATATACATAATTGATCAATCGCAATACCACTTCCCCTTCAACTTCTCCATCATTACCTCCATGATCGATCATTATACATAATTGATCGATCGCAATCTCACTGAATTTCAACATTTCTCAATCTTGTTGTAATTATACCATTAATTTTGTACTTTTACCTAGTAATATCGTTAACATCACAGTTTTTTAGAAAAAAAACACCTTATTAAGCCACTATGATCGATCATTCATATTCTTGATCGGTCAAATTATATATTTATTTATTTCTTTCCAAAATTCCATTTTCTTACGCAACACCTTTCCGCATAATGATCGATCATACATTTATTCGATCGATCATATATTATATTGATCGATCATCCATTACATTGACTACGAGTCGTAAATTTTTCCACTTTTGTTGTAAATATACATTTACTTTTGTACCTATCCCATTACTTTTTTACATTTCTTACTGATGTCATAAATACACCATTGTCATTGTACTTGGTTCCACTCACTTTGTAATAATACTATTATCTTTGTTATTGTACCCATTAATGTTGTAAATCTTTTTGTAACTCACTCGTTGTTGTGGAGTCATAAATTTTTCCATTTTTGTTGTAAATATACCTTTACTTTAGTACCTATTCCATTAATTTTTTACATTTCTTACTGATGTCGTAATTACACCATTGTCATTGTACTTGGTTCCACTCACTTTGTAATAATACCATTATCTTTGTTATTGTGTTCATTATTGTTATAAATCTGGCATGTAATATTGTAAATATTCCGTATAACTCACTCATTTCTGTGGTAACCAGTTGTCATCCGGTTGCCTTGCTTTTGCTTTACACGTGTCAATTTCTGCATCGTTCTGCAGTGACAAAATCAGCTTTTAGTCCCCCTTTGATGTTCGATATGATACCGAAATTCTCAATGGATGTACCGCAGTCCAGTCCTTCAAGTTAATTGTAGAGTTAAAAAGGAAAAAATTAATGGTGGAGGATCTGGGAGTATACGTGTGCTAGGTTTTCTATAGCTGTTCAAGAATAAAAAACTTTTTTGTCTCATTTACACCGAAATGACTGAAGGTTTTGCTGCAAAATGGATTGGGGTGATTAATGGTGACATCACAGGTAGAGTTTCACTGTTAACTACGCATGTGTAAATTTCTGATACTTTCTTCTTCTTTTTTAAGTTTGTAAAATGAAAATTTTGTGTCTTATAGGATCAGGATCGATGCTAGTTTGATTTGCGAAAGATTTGGCATATTGCAAAGTTTGAGAAAGCAGAAAAAGGAAGTTTATTTAGCGAACGATTATTATTGTGTCCTATTTGTTTCTTTTCTAATGTTCTTGGTGAAGAAAATACAATTAGGCAAACTATTTTTTTAATTAATTTGAATATTTTGGTCTTTATTTGTGCATTCCTTTTTAGCATTTTGATTTTGTTCCTTATTTTTTTGGTATTGATTTATCGTTTGCTAATAGGCAACCTAAATGAAACCCAAAAAATACAATTCAAATATATATCATTCTTTAAATGAGTGTTGTATGAGTGATGTTATATGAGTGAGTTTTATTGAAAAAGTTGATAGAATTTGTTTGTCCAATAAATAATATTTATTTAAGTTATAATTTTTTTGAGTTTCATTTAGATTTCGTACCACTATTCCAATTTTATAATAGTTGCACTTGTTAAGCACGAATCCAATGTTGTGCTGGGAGGCGGAAAATTTGTCTGGAAACGTCACCGTCGAGAGAGAAGAAAACTATTTTCTGAAGCATTTCAACAAACAGCTTACATGCAAAACAATTTAAATGCAGTTTATATTTCAATCACAAACATCACATAAAAAATAAATAAAATTCGAATCTAAATTTTTTGGAACTAAATGATGAAAAAAAATGCTAAAAATGATGCAGTCCAAAACCATCCATAGAAGCACAAACAAAACAAAGGCTTTGATAGAGGAGCAACAACTACAAACTACAATTTGAAATGAATAAAGAGATGTACTTGGCGATGGCAGCAAAGCCCTGCTCGGCGTGGACTGCTGGTAGTTAGTCGATGAAGGATAGCTGGTGGCTGACAGGGACAGAGAGGAGGCGTAACAAAATGGTGAGTTACGTCGTTGGGTCTGGGTCAAGGGCTGTGTGTGGTCACTGGACAAAATGGTGTGGTGGAATATGTCGCCGGATCTCAAAATTCTGACCGGAGATCTGAAGCTTCAGGGTCGACGTGTGTGTATGACAGAGACAGTGTGTTAAGCGGCTGATCGGAGGGATCTGACCGGAGTTAAGGCTGCGTCGCCGGATTTGGTTTAGTCGATGGTCCACCTGTGTGTGAGTGAGAGAGTTAAGGGTGAAACTTGGGTTGGGTTTGAGTCAAAAACTCCGATTCGAATTTAATTTGGTTTGGATTCGGGTTAAGGCCTCGGGTTCACAGGTTCAATCTGAACCCGACAAGTTAAAAAAAAATTATATATATATATAAAATATTAGCACTGATTTTTTATTTTTGTTTTATTGTTCTCTGTCTCTTTTGTTCATTTTCATTTTTGTTCTAGCATTAGTACCATTAAAAACTTGGTTAAAGTTATTAGTTATTAATTTAGGTGAATATTATGTAATATATGTATTAGATTTAGAACAACAAACCTATTTTGGGCTCTACCAGAATTGAATCCGTAGAGTAACCTGAAATCAATCCAAATTCATTAACCCGAATTCAACCCGAGTCCAACTAAATTAAACTCCGGCAGTGCTCGGACTGAGTTCTTAAACCCGAGGTAGGGTTAGGGTTAGAGTTAGGGTTAAAAATTATATACTTAGAGTTGAGCTAGAGTTGATTGTCCAACCCGCTCGAATTACACCCCTAGAGAGAATTAAGTATTTAAGAAAGTGTATGAAATAATTGGGCGGGAAAAAAATTTCACGAGTTAAGGGTAACTATTAAATCAAGTCTAGATAAATTTGGATAAATCTAGATCGTGAAAAATAAAAATTATTTTATTTATTTTTTGAAATTTGTATTTTATTATATACATGGTTTTTCTATAAATTTTTATCGCTCATTCTGTAAATTTCAATAGAGTAATTTTTATTAAAATAAATAATTAAAATTAAAGAAATGATTGCATTATAATATTTTTAATTTATTAAAGGTGTAATATAAAAAAAATTTATTCTCTCAAAATAAGAATAATTTTTTGGGGTGGGGCTCCTCTACAGTTAAGGTTTAACTGCAAAGTTTGCTGTTAAGTTGAACAGTGTCGTTCCACTCAAAAACAAAGAACCCAGCAACAAGTTCAACAACATCGTCCAAAGGCGGTGGGTTTTCACCAATAACGACATCGTCCCTCATTCCCTCCTCATGCAAAAAGCCAAAACACAGTCCCTCCAAGCTCTAGCAAAGTTATTTCTCTCACCTATTGCAAAAATATGCTAAAGCAAAAATCTTCTTGTTCCACTCGACATCCCGAAAAAAAATTCAGGTAATTTTATGATATATCATATTTATTGCATCAAAATTAATTTTGTTATATGATCTTTATTGCATCAACATTAATTTTGTTATACCACCATTATCTTTGATTTTTTGTTATGTTATGATGGAATTTATCACCATAATTTTTTATATTTTTTGTCCTTCATTATCTTCAACCCTTCGTGTTTTATTATGTTCATTATTCAACTCTTGAGGATAAGAAGAATCTGTGACACCCAAAATCCGGGGGTCCGTTGATTACCCATCAACCCGCGAAATACCCGTGGATATCGAGTAATTCGATATCACGTCATTATGCTCCATTTACCGGAAACCATAATTTTGACAAAATTCGGGCAGAGTCTCCTTTGTACGGGAAACTCTACCCAAAACTCAACCTGTGTAATCATATAATAACAAGACTCATCTGAGGTCCAATATTCAACAATGACCACACCGAGTCCAATTATAAGTAAACATTGGCCACACCGGGTCCAATTATCCATATTTATATCAACACATGCAAGATTAGTTTAACAATAGTCTATATAAGTTCTATTACAATTATTTGCAAAAGATTGCATGCCCAAAACATTATTTCCACAAATGTTTTACATTAACACAAAATAAAGCCACATTCGGCTTTCTTCAAACATGATGGTCCAAAGTAGAGCCATCCACCGGTATATCTCTCCTACCTTAAATATTTTTTCGTATAAGGTGAGTCAACGCCCAATAAAATAATCCCTACAGAGGCTACTCTCCACCTTAGGTGCATATGTGAT